ATCTAACCGCAACAGACAACTGAGAGTGCATACTCCCTTGTCTTAGTGGATGACTAGCGGCCTCTAACTGTTCATAAAAATATTTTATCTCTTCGTTAGGAGGTTGTTCAACACTTTCATGGGTTTCAAAATCGAAGTGCATCCCTAAAGCATCCGCAACCATTTCATGGTATCTAGGATGTTGAACGTTATTCTCCACCGACCTACTACTTTCACCAACAACTACGTTATGAAATACACCATTAGTACCATCAACCCCTCCATGACTAGTCCACACAAAATAATTATCCATAAACCCCTTTCTATAAAGATGAGTCGTAACATCCTCCGGACAAAAGAAATGCAAACACTTGCACTTCGTTCAAGCACACCTAATCATCCCTCCAATCCGAAACGGTTCAAGTGACATTGCATGCCTAAGAAATTCCTTAACCCCTTCTATAAATTCCTCCCTAAAAAACCGATTATTAGGATAATTCCTATTATACATCCAACTACGATATTCCATCTACATAAAGAACAAATAAATTAATTAATCATAGATCAAATTAATTTATAGAATTAAGTTACATAATAAATTATAATTTGTTAGCACACCCAATTAATCTAGCATAATTAGTTAAGCCTAATTTTCTAAAAGCAATAAACACTAATATAATAATGAATTAAACCCTAAAATAATAAATTAGACAAAAAACCCTATTATACATCCAACTATGATATTCCATCTACATAAAGAACAAATAAATTATATTTATATTAATCATAATTCAAATTAATTTATATAATTAAGTTACATAATAAACTTTAGTTACAAATTACAACATTTAAATAATTTGAGTGCATATTAATTTAGTTACAAGTTACAAATCACCCCAAGTTAAAAACACTTATTAACCATTGAAATGAGTACATAATAAACCATTTACACTTTCTATTTCTTTAACTTCTCCAAAGCTCACATGTAGATCTAGCTAGATGAACTCAAAAAATTAAACAAAATAAATATTCTATATCATAACAAACTGATCCATCCATAAAGACTACTACTTATCAAAGGATTTTCACATTGTTAGAATATAAAAATTAAACTCATTTGAAAATATGTAAGAAGAATTTTATACAGTACTATTCCAAAAATCACGATCATGTAATCATACATTTGAAATAATCCTAAAATCCAAAATTGTAAACCCTAGTTTATACGATTGAAGGAACTTAAATAACTAAAATTAACAAATATAGATAACTAACCTTCAAAGAGAGGGGAGGAGTATGATTTTGGAGCATTAGTGGGGCGGAGGAGCAGTGGTGGGCGGAGGAGCAATGGTGGGGCGGGAGAGACTNGGCGGAGAAACAGTGGTGGCGCGGGAGAGACGAAGTGGGGGGGTTGATTTTGGTTGAGAAGGGAGTGGTGAGGTGATTTGGGTGGGATTTGGGGAAGGATTTTCGGATGTGGAAGAAGGAGGAGAGAAGGAGTAAAGTGAAAAATGAAGAAGAAGCCCGCTAGGGCTTTACACATTTCCGATCGAAATCGGTCGGAAATAGGCGGTCGGTACAATTAATTGATATTTGACCGTTTGACTGGACATTACCGATCGAGATCGGTCGGTAATTGATTTTAAATTATTTTTATAATTAATATATAAATTATATATATATATATATATATATTAAATAAGTATTAAATATTATTTATTTAAAAGCTCTTTATTATTTACACACACACACACAAATATTATTAAACTTATATTTTAATTTGTACAAAATTGTTTTTCCGACCGAACTCAGTCGGGAATATTCAATTATAAGCTATTTCGGCTTGTTAATTAAATATATTTAATTTTTGACTTGGGCGGGAAATAAAAATTCCAAACTTTCCGATCGAAACCGGTCAGAAATTTAGAAAAATACTAATAAAAATTTAGTTTTGTACATTATATAGAAGTATGACCTGGTGTTGGTCAAATATTGACCAGTTTTCGACCGAAATCGGTCGAAATTCTTATTTTTTTTGTTGTGGGACCATTATTTCCGTTGTCAGAAAAACTTCTGTTGACTTTTGCGACCAAGTACACAAATTTCCGATCGATTTCGGTCGGTATGGCTTGGACGAATAATGCCAGTTTTCTAGTAGTGTATGGAGCACTTCATATATAACTAATTATAACATTCCATAAGTGTATCACAAATATTTCTAGACATTTTCTAAAAAAAATTCTATAAAAAGTCTTCGAAAAGTATATAAACATTATATATTTATATGTCGGTTTGGTTCGAATTTTTTACTCAATACAAACCAAATCAAACCAAATCTAATCGAGTTTTTTAATCGGTTTGGTTTGAATTTTCGGTGTGCAGTTTTCCGGTTCGGTTTGTACACCCCTAATCCAAAAGATTACCTTAACCACTGTCTGCATTATTATATATCTATATAATTAGTGTATAATTAGTGGCAGATCCAGGATTTTAAAGTTGTGGCGGTCAGTTACCTATAATGGAGACTTACTGCAACCGCAAATTATAATTGCACAACTATTTGAATTTTGCACAAATATATACTTTTGTGTCGTGACAGTGGTGTCTCGCGCCATCACGACCCTTAGTGGATTTTGAGTCGTGATATATATATANTCCCCAGGAGGTACCTGCAATCCAAAATTAAGTTAGAATACCTCGAATTTTGGTTATCCAGAAGTGTAATTACCTCTTTTGCATCTATTTCCACTTGAAGTGGTAGCAGTCTTAGTTGTGCTGCTAGACTTAAGCCTTTGATGAGTGCTTGTAATTCAGCAGAGAGACAATTCATATGAGGAATTGGGCCAGCGAATCCCACCATCCACTCGCCCTTGTGATTTCTAATAACTCCCCAATTCCATCTTTGTCTGTCCCTAAACAAGTTGCCCCATCCGTATTTATTGTACTAGCACCTCACATGTATATAACGCCATAGATTTATTTATTTTTCTTTTTTTTCTTTTTTTATTTCTTTCTTAGTGCTCTACGGACAAGTAACCATATAGGTTTAGATTTTTGTCATTTAGATTTTTTCTCTTTTCCATTTATATTTTCTCCTTATAACTTCAGAATTTTCATAAGATTATCTTGTGAGAAAAGAAAGAAAAGTTCAAAGCAGTTCTCGAAAATTGAAGTCTTACGTGTTTTCCATCTATTAGGAAATTTTTGAAGACTGGAGAAAAGGTTCAGATGCTTCAAGAAAATGATGAAATATGGAGTGATGCTATTTGACTTAACCTTTCTTTTCTAACCAGTTAATTTCTTTTCAAATTCTTCTTTTCAATTGATTTTGAATACTCAAACTCATATTTTCACAAATATTTACCACCTAGCAAGCTATTTCTTTTCATAAATAAATGGTATACTACATGTTCACCACATGAATATTATTGGTATATTGTCCCCCCATATACCTTTTATATGTAACTAGTCTACTGTGTGTACACTCTTTCCATATCTCTTTTTATTCTTTCTTATCTTTAATTTTTTTTTTCTGTTGGCTAGAGGTGAACGGGAGGGTAGGTGGGGTGGAGGATCATGTTTTGG